TATGAGCTGTGAAAGTTAAGGCATTAATTTTTTTTAAAATGTCAATCTGCCTTATTTCTATTGACGGCAGCCCATATTGTAAAACCTTTGACTTGCCGCTTGTTCGAAGTATCTAAAATTTTAGATATAAATAACTGGTAACCCGAGTTACCCGGGTTACTCAATTATTTTTAACAAATTGGTTTTGTAGCCGGGTAAGGCTTTTTTAGACGGGCGGGTAACCCGGAGAAGAAATTTATAACGGGTTGAATCTCCATATGGAATACTATCCTTCTTAGGCGAATTGCCAATTAATTTATTGCTCTTTTAAAAAATATACAGAATATTTTTATTATATTTTCGTAATTTCAATCTTATCCTCTACATATTTTATAAAAGTATATAGCAATCAGATAGTTAGTTAATCATATTTTTTTATTATCATATCTAAGTAAGGTTAGAAATAAGTAAATGTTTATTACTACACTGGATTTAACTTCTAAGAGTCATGTTCTGTTCAAACGCCCCTAGCCAGGGTTGTGAATAGGCAATGGACAAGCCGATAGACTCAATAGAGAGTCTAATGGTGTCTAATTAAGTCATTAGACAATAGACAAATTAATATATTATTTAAAAAATCTGACTGGTTAATTTTAGTTATTATTATATATTTTTTTTACACAAATCAACTCTTGTTGTTCTGTAGTACATATTAAAAACAATTAGTTTAAGACCAATAGACATTAGACTCATTACTAGATCACAAGATCTCACGATTTAATCAATTTAAACTACAGTGTCCTTTTGTACGAATTTGGAGTGAGCTAGCCAGGGCGGCCCCAAAGTGCCAATGATGTAATCTTTGAGCAACTACAATATACATATAATATTGAACCCAGGTGCCGCACTTGGAATTTGTTCAGTTTTTATAAAAAAAAAAATCATACGTACTGTACGTACACAAAAAATGCGCGGCAGATCCTCGATTTTGATTGGCTAACGGCCGAGGATCTTCAAAATTTTGGCCCGCATTACATAATTGTTTACTAATTTCCGGCCGATTACAGAAATAGAAAATTTTAAACATTGGTAAAATTACGAGTAATTCCGGCCTAATTTTTTGATCGTCGAGGATCTGCCACGCGGCAGTATTGCATTATTGAATTGATATCTAAAAAAATGATAATATGCAGAACCAATAAATCACACTAATTGATCTTACGTCTGGCACTTTGGGGCAAACCTGGCTAACTCGAATTTGGTGGGTTAGTTGTGACATAAAAATGTCGCGGTCTCGTGATCACCGATATCTTCCGACCCGAAATTCAAATTACATTACATACATTAAAATACTAATAGTTTCTTTAATAATTTAATTTAGTATTTTAAATGTAATGTGTAATTTGAATTATTGGGTCGGAAGAGATCGTGACCACAAGACCGCGCATTTTTATGGCACGACCAACCCACTTCGAATTTGGCGTCAAAAGGGATAATAGGTCTTATACCTTCTAATAATGCGTCATTATTATTAGTTTGCTAAATTTGTGTGTTATTTCTTTTATGTATAGAAAGTTTATTTTTGATCGATTTAAAAATTTCCTCATTATTAAAAAAGAAACAAAGCTTTTTATATAAATTAGGTTATTTATATTAGATAATTGTGCTTCTAGAAGAATCACAATTCAATTGTCTGACTTCTATAATAGATTTCTTTATACAAATAGTTTTGTTTAAATGAATGAGTGATTCGTTTATGGACTTATTACTGTATATACCTTCTTGGCTCCAGGCGACAAACTGAAATCAATTTTCGGAGATTAGTTTCAAGCTGGGTATCTAGCTCAAAAACATATCATGATAACCAAAAAAACCAAATTCAATAAATTTTATCTTACATGTGGTTATCACGATATAATTAGCTTATTTTAAATGCAAGAGACACTTTACTTTATGCGATTTCAGAGTTAACTTCAACATGTGTACAGTACATAAATACTGTATACACAGAATAGATCGATATAAATAAAATTATTCATAATAATATAATTATTACTTTTTAGAACTAGCATACAAGGATACTTCTCGAAGTTGATGAAAAAGTTGATCATTTTACTCTAATCGATGGTGAATTTCTGATGTAATCAAAAATTTAGAATTAAGTGATAATATCAAATTGGTTAAAATAGCCTCGTTATCAATAAACAATTTGAACAGAAAATTTGCCAAATTATTAATGTCTTATCTTTTTCAGTGGATTGCATAATAGTGAACATTATCAGCATATCTGAAATCTGTGCCAGGTTATGCCGATCACCGAATCAAAGAACATTAAGCACAGATTTTAATTTACTTTATTTTCGATATTTAGGTATACTCATATAACTAAAATTTCGTGCTGAAAACTTTTGCTTAGAAGTCAAACTATGGTTATCATAGTAAAATCTTGAGTTATTTACGATTTTCTGTTTTCCCATTGAGAAAAAGAAAACTTGTAAATAGCCCAAGATTTTACTATGATAACCGTAGTTTGACTTCTAAGCAAAAGTTTTCAGCACGAAATTTTAGTTATATGAGTATACCTAAATATTGAAAATAAAGTAAATTAAAATCTGTGCTTAATGTTCTTTGATTCGGCGATCGGCACAGATTTCAGATGTGCACATTATCAGTTAGAGATTTTAAATCAGGTATTTAAAAAAATCTTTGATAATCGAACAAGGCTCCTGGATAATAATCGACTGTTATTTCATGTGTTAGAAGTCACTTTCGCTTTCAAATTTCTGTTAATTGAAAATTAACGTATGTGGCTTTTAAAAAATTATAAAATAAAGTATGTTATATCCTGATATCCCAATTAGTATAATTTTTATGAGTTCATAATTATTTCACAACTTGTTTTATTACAGTAGCAGCCATTATTTATTGAATTTCTTGATTAGATGCTTTGTGATAGATATTTCGAAATCTTATTAGTCTGGTTAAGTTTTGTTGGGTCCATAAATCTTCAATAGTATAACTAGTTATGCTTAAACTGAAAAATCCTATTCTTCGATAATCCCAGCTTTAATTAATAATTTAAAAGTATTAGAAATCTAATATTTAAAGCTTAGACTTCGCTTAACTGAAGAATTTTATAAAAAGCTAGACAGCGATCATAATTGAATGATATATTGTATGCTTTTCTTTTTCTTAGCTATTTAGATAGTTGTCATTAATTTTTTCAAAGGTTTAAAGGCGAAAGAAATGGAAAAACCAATAAAGTATTCGAAATCATTGTAATCAATAATAAAAATACTTTTTATGTTCAAAAAAACCTTTTATATTAAATTTTATTACCGTATATTACCGAATCAAAGCAAGCTTTCCGATTTGGAACCAAAAATTTTTTGATAATTAGATCAGAATAGAGGCAACCTCTTCACTTTAGTCCGAAAAAATTCTTTTTTGATAACATTTTGGCTAGGTATATAGTAAGGATTTAAATGGAAGGTAAAGAATGAGCGCATCACACGTGCCACACCTAGTACAGAGTCACAAGAACATATAAATATCAATACGTTTTCCCAATAGTGTTGTCCCGTAGTTTATTCTCAAATATCCGTTTCGTTAAAAATATTGAAAATGATTCCACGTCAATCAAGGAAAATATCTTTTTATGAGGAATATGTTCAAACAATATCAGTAGAATTTCATAAATGGATGCTAATCATTAACTACACGCTTGTATTAGTGATTTTCGTGATTTTTTTTAGCTTTGGTATGTTAAATATCTTTTTATCCTTTAAACTGTCAGACAAATTTATTTCACGATGAATAGCAGGGCAGTTTAAGAGATAATCAATTGAATTAATCTAAAATTTTATACAATGTAGATTATAAAGCGGATGCTATATTAAAAGAGCAAAATAATCTTAAAAACAATACAGATCTATATGGAAAATATGGCTACGACTCGTATGAATTTTCTTTTTTATATTTTCTCGTCTAAATTCAATACTAATTAGTATCTTATAGTAATTCGTTTTATAGTAGTATAATTTCTTCAGTATTTTATTGGAATTTTTGTTTTTATGTTTTACACTTTATTCCTTGTTGTTGTTGCACAAAATTTGAAAGAATGAAATGGAGTTTTGCGATACCTGCATTTATGCTTAATATGTAATTACAACTATTATTTTATGAAATTCAAAAAATTTAATATCTATGTCAAACTAACTACTGTCTCTTTGTCATAGATTAGGGGCTTGCATTGGTATACCACTTTCATTTCCATATTTAAAAGATCAAATTGTTGGACCTGATCATCAAATAATTTCATGTGATCATATCGAAGTTTTGGATTCATGGTTAAATGATTGGTGTACTTTCTATAAACTTCGTATTATATTATCATGGTTACTTATATTTGTGTGGTTTATAACGTGCCCAATTTATTTGTTTACCATATTAGCAATTTTAAGTAAGAGAGTTTATAGAATTTTAAAATTATGGACCACTTACCAATATCAATATAGAAAGGGTTTATTCTTAACTTGGTTAGAAAAACGAAAAGAAAAATCAATGCAACAAAATGATAAGAGTGTTAAGGAAGTTACAACTAATGATATTAAAATAGTTACAGTTGAATAATTCAATTTATTTAATACGTAAGATTTTTGTATTTAAATTAGGCTCTATTAGTTATATATGTCATTCTTGTTATAACAATATTTGGTTATAACGACATTTTGAACCTACACTCATAATATAAAATGTCTTTAGTTAAATCGCATTTGAATTTATCAGATTATCTACTATGCTCAATCAAAAGATAGCAAATTAAACTATCAGAAAAATCAAGTATCCATTTATTACTATTAAATTTACGCCATCGTACATTTCTGAAATGGTTAAAACGTTAATCAATAATAGAACATGACTCTTAGAAGTTAAATCCAGTGTAGTAATAAACATTGACTTATTTCTAACTTTACTTAGATATGACAATAAAAAAATATGATTAACTAACTATCTGATTGTTATATACTTTATAAAATATGTAGATGATAAGAATGAAATTACAAAATATAATAAAAATATTCTGTGTATTTTTAAAAGAGCAATAAATTAAAATATTTAATTGGCAATTCGCCTAAGAAGGATAGTATTCATATGCGCAAATTACTATTAACCATAGCTAACTATTTTTTTTTTACATGACATGAAGAGAAACTTTTTCAATTATAGTAAATTATAGGATATTTATATTTTATTTTTATATTACTATATAAAATTTTCTTAATAAATTAGGATAAAAAAGTTCATGATTATATAAAACATATAGTAATTCGCGCTATACTGCGGTAACTATTTTAATATCATTAAATGTATAATTTTGTTGCATTGATTTTTCTTTTCGTTTTTCTAACCAAGTTAAAAATAAACCCTTTCTATATTGATATTGGTAAGTGGTCCATAATTTTAAAATTCTATAAATTCTCTTACTTAAAATTATTAATATGGTAAACAAATAAATTGGGTAAATTATAAACCATACAAATATAAGTAACCATGATAATATAATACGAAGTTTATAGAAAGTACACCAATCATTTAGCCATGAATCCAATACTTCGATATGATCACATGAAATTATTTGATGATCAGGTCCAACAATTTGATCTTTTAAATATGAAAATGAAAGTGGTATACTAATGAAAGCCCCAAATCTATGACAAAGAGACAGTAGTTAGTTTGACATAGATATTAAATTTTTTTGAATTTCAAAAATAATATTTGTAATTACATATTAAATATAAATGCACATATCGTAAAACTCCATTCCATTCTTCCTAATTTTGTGCAACAACAACCAGGAATCATGAGTAAAACATAAAAACAAAAATTCCAATAAAATATAAAAGAATATCCACTAGCATCTGACAATTTACTATAAGATATTTAATACACTAATTAGTATTGAATTTAGACGAGAAAATGTAAGAAAATTCATACGAGTTGTAGCCATATTTTCCATATAGATCTGTATTGTTTTTAAGATGATTTTGCTCATTTAATATACCATCTGCTTTATAATCTACATTGTATAAAATTTTGAATTAATTCAATTGATTATCTCTTAAACTGTCCTGCTATTCATCGTGAAGTAAATTTGTCTGACATTTAAAGGATAAAAAGATACGTATCATACCAAAGCTAAAAAAAATCACAAAAATCACCAATACAAGTATGTAGTTGATTAATAGCATCCATCGATGAAATTCTACTGACATTGTTTGAACATATTCATCATAAAATGATATTTTTCTTGATTGACGTGGAATCATTTTAATATTTTTAACGAAACGGATATTTGATAATAGACTACGGGACTTGGGGAAAAATATTGATACGTATTTATATGTTCTTGTGACCCTGTACTAGGTGTAGCACATGTGATGTGCTCACTTTTTAAATTCTTACTATATATGAGTGCCGCCAAGGGAAAACCCTAATCGGGCTTTCAATTATATTTTGTACCGGACATATTCTCTAAGAAATTAAATAGATTTTGTCCAGTACAAAATATAATTGAAGGCCCAATTAGGGGTTTTCCCTTGGCGGCACTCATATATAGATATATATTATGCATCTAGTATTGGTATTATATGAACCAAAATGTTATCGTTATATGATAAAAAAAGATTTTTCGGACTAAAGTGAAGAGGTTGCCTCTATTCTGATCTAATTATCGAAATATTTGTTTCCAAACCAGTAAGGTTTCTTTGATTCGGTAATACAGAGAGACCTCTCTAAATGCACCCCCTCGGGACCATAGTAAAAAAATTTCAAAAATGTGCACTTAGAGAGGGCGTGCATTTATAGAGAGCAAAATATATAAGTGATATTATAAGCTGGGACCAGACTATACTGTGCATTTAAAGAGATTTTACATAGAGGATACATTTATAGAGAGTGCATTTAGAGGGGTCTCTCTGTATACGGCAATAAAATTTAGCATAAAAGTTTTGTTTTTTTGAATTATTTCTTACAAATCATTTCGAATATTTTATTAGTTTTTCCTTTCTTTCGCTTTAAACTATTATTGACAACTATGTGAAATAGATGAGAAAATGGAAAGCATATAATATATCATTCAATTATGATCGCTATCTAGCTTTTTTACTTCAAATTAACACGAAAGTATAAGCTTTAAATATTAGATTTCTAATATCTTTAAATTAAAGTTGGAGTTACCAAAGAATTGAATTTTCAGCATAACTAGTTATGCTATTGAAGATTTTTATGGAACGCGCGTTACCCAACAAAACTAATCACAAAGCATCTAATCAAGAAATTGATTAAAATACTATCATATGATAATCATCTTATTACACTTGGATTTAATTTACCAACTTTTTGTCTGTCCGCCCATGTGACCAAATTACATTCTTGATGTGATCTTTATAATGTATCAAAAACGTAACTTTATATCACTTTGCATAGACACTAAGGAACAATAAATAATGGCTGCTACTGTAATAAAGCAAGTTGCGAAATAAATATGTACTCATAAAAATTATACTAATTGGGATATCAGGATATAGCATACTTTATTTTATAATTTTTAAAAGCCATATGCGTTAATTTTCAATTAACTGAAATTTGAAAGCGAAAGTGACTTCTAACACATGAAATAACAGTCAATTATTATCCAGGAGCCTTTTTCGATTATCAAAGATTTTTTAAATACCTTAATTTAGAATCCCTAGCTGATAGTGTTAACATAGGCAATCTATTGAAAAAGATAAAACATTAATAATTTGGCAAATTTTTTGTTCAAATTGTTTATTGATAACGAAGCTATTTTAACCAATTTGATATCACTTAGTTCTAAATTTTTGATTACATCAGAAATTCACCATCGATTAGAGTAAAATGACCAATTTTTTCCTCAACTTCAAGAAGTAACCTTGTATGCTAGTTCTGAAAAGTTCCAGATGGAATAATTATATTATCATGAATAATTTTATTTATTCTGTGTGTATTTATATACTGTGTGCATGTTGAAGTTAACTCTGAAAATAATCTCTGAAGTTGCAATAAAGTAAAGTGTCTCTGGCATTTAAAATAAGCTAATGATATCATGATAGTTACACAACTAAATTTGATGAAAATTTGTTTTTATTTAATTTAACATGAAGTTATTTAGGATAAAATTGGTTTTTTTGTCATCATGATATGTCTTAAGAAGTAATTGTTCAATTAAGTAAATTAGCACAATTAAGATTATTCCACATATTTCTGTATATCGATATCAATTAAAAAATCATTACGCCTATTGGCTAAATCAATAAAAGACTTTTTATTAAT